CCACGTCGTCGACTGTCAGGACTCATTGTAAAGCCTCGAGAGTCCCGGGCTCAGAACTCATTACAAGAGTCCTGCGGAGGCATAAACTTTCCGACTAATCCCTGATTAAGTACTCAGTCCCGGCGACTTCGACATTCGGTTGGCTGCGGTTCAATCATGCTGCCCATAAGCTGATGTTTTTCCTCTCACCGGAAGTGGAAGTGGTCGGTATCCCATTTTGACCCTTTTAAAGTCCTGCACTTCCGGCCAAAGCCAAAAGGTCGTCCTTTTGACGCTGCAAAACACTCGCCTGCTGATGGGCATTAAATCGATGTCAGAAATGCTGAGCGATTCAATTTTCCCACAAATTACAAATAATAATAGAACGACTTTATACCCTACCTAAAAAAAATGTGGGAACTTAAAGTTATAAATAAATCAAGAAGAAATTAATACTCTAAATATTAAGAAAAAGGAATTTAAATTTATAAATAAGTATAAATACATTTTTCCGTTAAACAAAATGTAGTTTTTATAGTGGATCAATAAGGCAATATTGATTTAAGCCGCATGAATATAAACCGTATTTTATATCTTTTAGCATTTCTAAGCTTGGTATATTTGATATTATTTACCAGATATCAACAACCTTTCTTGATTTATTTACCACCCACTCAAGTTCATATTTGGAAAACATTTGACATTTTGTTGCCTGTTGCCGCCTGCAATTGAAATCAATAAATGTCGGCCCGGGCACATTTTCTCCTCATTCGCACCCGAGGAAAAGCGGGAATCGGTGGTGGAAAAGTATGATGAAAATGCTTAAGATGTTGGCTGGAAATTTTCATTCCGCATTTATGATTTCTACACTCTTTGGGAGTCATTTGCAGCGCCATCACGTGCCGACAATCACGCAAAATCATTGCGCCGTCATTTATTAGCAGGACAAAGGGCGGAAAATGGAAAAAGCGTCTTATGGAGTTGCCACTTCCGCTTTTCGTTGACGCAGGTCCAATGTCACTGCCATGGAATTCCCACATTCCCACCCATATCGCCTTGGAAATTGTTTTGGGCCTGCGTTAGATGAAGATATGAAATTTGAAGGGCTCAATTTATCATTGCCAACGAAGGGAAGCACTTGCCAAAAGCAAAACATTATTGAATTAAAGGTGTATTTATTTCAGTTAGAGAATACGCTTTAAGTTCTTTTGAACTCTCTAAGATACAAACAATAAAATAAGCCTGAGTTTGTAGATCTAATATTAATGATTTTGTTTAAGTGCTTAAACAATATACTATTTTGAAAATTTTAATGAAGATTACAGCTGAAATTTGTGACCTTTTCGGGGAAAATTCCAGCTCAACAAGTCAATCATTCTAAATTGAAAATAAATTAATGGCACCTGTTTCGGGTTTGCCGACCGCTGAGCCATTGACCGTTGATCTCAAGACTTGTCATTCAATTTAGATTTACTGCCGGCGAGAAAAATTCATAGCCTTGTTTATATTGCTAGTAGCCAAACATTTCTCTTGTTGACATTCTTGGTCATTTATTTACTTTCGGGAGCAGAGACTCTCGCCTATCTATCTTAATCAATTCAACAGTGCCCATTTGTCGTCGTAATTCGTTGGAAATATATTTATGGATAAGATTTAGCATCAACGGCTTCTGTTTCAATTGCGACTTCTGTTGTTAAGATATCTATATACTTATTATATATAAAAGTTATGGGCTTAGCAAGCCAAAACATCGACTTAAATTTTTCAATAACAAATTTAGATAAAAATTAGAAAATTTATAGGCTATGTAATTGTTTTATAATTTATATTTTAGAGCTAGTCAGCTTTCCTTTGTCACTTTTGAAGTAATTCAAGTGGTTTTTCATGAAAATCGTAAATATTTGTCGGAGTAATTATTTTTTCCATTTGTTCGCTCGCTGGACCGTTGAAAATCCGCTTAAATGCAATAAAAATAAATTTAAATTGAATACGCTTTTTGTGGACAGACTTAAACAGGCTTCTATGTAAACATAGGCAAAACTTGGGGGTTGGTACACTGAAAACTTTGTAGTGATATCTTAAATATACCATACATAAATATAAGCTAAATAAAAATGAAGATATATATTTAGATGTGTCAAACTTGAACCGCAATAGTCTCTACATTATAATTGCGCTGCAATTTGTTTGTGAAATATTTGTGTCAGGTTTTCGCTGAGTGTGAAAAGTTAAGGCACGACTCCATCGCCTGGGGATTGGGGTCTGATTTGGGTGTTTCGTGTCTGATTGACCGTATCGCCTATCTCTTTTTGGGTCCACGGGGTGTCGCATTTAAGGGTCGCGCTTAAGGTTCCGTTCAGTTCACTTTGGCTCTGTTCTAATTAAACCATTTTGAAGTTGATTGCGTTTCAGTGCGGGGCTTCTGGCTGCCGCATTTCACCGATAAATCAAATTTAAATATCTGAGTGCTACTCAAATTGACTGCCCACTTTCCCCCAACACGTAAATAAAACCAAAACCCCGAATCGAACACACGCCGAATAAAAATGTGGATGGTCTCGCGGGGAATCCGAATTGGAATTGAGCGCCGTTTTTTGTGTTCGCTGTGTATTTTTAATGTTATTTAAATACACAATAAATCCGATATTTAAATTCATTTCCAGTGGCGCTGAGGGAAAAAGATGCTTAAAGTGATTCAAGAGAAATCTATTTGGTATTTTTTTCAAACCAAAAAAAAATTTCAGGAAATAGTATATTTTAAAGTTTTTTTCCATGTTACCCACAAGTGCAATTCAATTTTTGTTAATATTTATTTCTGTTGGTAAACAGAGGAAATAATTACTTGAGGCTTAACTTTGATTGCGATTTATCAATTACTTCACTCATTCCTTTAATTAGTGATTTTCCAGAGCAGCTTTGCCCCACACTCTCCTAATCGCATTAAAGTTCCTGAACAATCAACCCTCAAAACCGATTCGTGACCTTGTTGCCTTGGATCAATTCGATGGGTGGGTGTATATCATAATTGAGCCACTCGATTGCCCTGCCTTCCGTTCCATTGTAGTTCCTGTAGTCAGCAGAACTTTTCCCTCCCCCTTCGGTTTTCCTCTTCTGAGTTTTTCCCGGACTTTCATCGGTCCCTTGTGGGTCTATCTGTCAGCTCACACGATGAGTACTTAGCAGGGAAAAAAGCGATTTGAATTTTTGGCATCCGCAGCCTTAACCCCTCTAACAACCTCTATATATATCCGTCTCTTTCCGCGAAAGAGATGGCATCAGTTAGAGGGAAAGGGAGAGATAGAAAGAGAGAGAGAGAGAGGAAAAGAGGAGGCACTGACGAGATGCCTGTCAATTTTCATTTTCATCGCGAGCACGCCAAAAGGGAAATTTAAATGAGGCAATCTTTTTTTCGTGTGTGTATGTGTGTGTATTCGCCGGCAATTCCTTTTGTTGTTTACCAGGCTTAAAGGCATACGTGTGTGTGTGTGTGTGTGTTAGCTCTTTTGCTAATTACATGCTGCTCAGCAGGAAGAGTGATTTTGGCAAAGGGGAATGGGATTTGGCCCAAAGGTTATGGCCGAGTTCGATCCGAAATCGAATCAAATCGCTGCAAATCGTCGTCTCTCGCTATTAATAGACGCTCATTATTGGCATTTTTGGCATTGGCCAAAGTCAAGCTCACACGTGTGAGGGTGTTTTTCTATTTTCCTTTATTTGTTTTTTTTTTTTTTCTGGCAATTGGCAGCTCTTTGGCGCCAGTAAAGTCAGCCAAATCTCAGCAATAAAGATGGCGTGGCTGGAAAAATCTCGAAAGAGAAAAATAGTTTACCATTCAAGATTCTCTAAGAGTGGAAATAAATGAAAAAAAAATGAATTTTACAAAGTTGTTTTATTTTAATATTTATTTGCTCTTTTTTTGATCTAATAAAACAGTAAACAATTATTTTCTATTGCTCCTTATATCCTTAATACAATATAACATAAAAATATTTTATTTAAACTTTTCAAATCGATTTATATCAAATTCGGTACTCTTTAGCTGTATAGCTTGATAAATTGGAAACGTTTTAAATAAATGACATTACCATGAATCCTGAGATAAGAGAGTCTGGCAATTTTTTAACTTGACTTAACTAACTTTCTGCCTTGGCAAGGATCTCATCTCTGGTCCTTGAGAATTAAGCCGCCGTTTTGTTGCTGACACACGAATGGAATTCTTTTCCCTTTTGCGATTCCGATGGGCCTAATGCTTAATAACAATTTCATTTACATTTTCGGCACATTTCACTTTGACTTTGGCCCATGCGGCGTATGCGCAATATCCCGAAACCCGAAAGGTATTCTCTTACTTATTTGTTTGTATTTATTTTTCTGCACAGCTATTGTTTTGCGACCTAGAAAGGGTTTACTTATACACTCGCTTATATATATTTTTTTTGATGATTTTTTCCCGCCGCTCCCAGGATTCAATTCAATTAATTGAGACATTTTCGTTGTGGCGAGCTTGTTTTGTATTTTTTCCGTGTTCGTTTTGTTTCATTTTTGGGCCTGGGATTTGGTCCGCCCACCGGGAACGCCCCAAAGGATATTCTCGCTTTGTCCTGAAGCCTCCGCAATTTCCGCTGTATTGCAGCGTAATTATAATGCACAAAGGCTAATTAAAGCGCAGGCGGGGGAAATAAAGGTGAACAATGTATTGGCTTTCGGGTTTTTGCGTTAAAAATACAAGGTAACAATACGCCTCTTTTTTCTTTTAATCCAGTGCGCTTTAATTACCAATTGGGGCTGTCAAGTGCGTTTTTGTGCCACAAAATTGCACGCTTTTAATGGGGCTTTTCCGGCAATTTCATCCTGTTCCTTAATCACAAACCACTTTTATAGGCCGTTTAATCTGGTATCCCGATTTTGCAACAACGACAAAAATATTCGAATTCATTAAAGAGACATTTTTTAAAAGGCCTTGTTAGACTTTGGGGTTATGTATATATATTATTGGAATAAAATAGACACCACTACCGACTTATGCTGCAAATGATTATTTGTTTTTTAATGGTATTAGTATTTTATATTTATTTTTCTAATACAAATCCTTTTGGGTAATTTCGACGACTACCTCAAGAACAAGTTCCACCAGTCCAAAGGTTTGGACATTGATCTTGTACAGGCTATCGGGAAGATAGTTGGGTAGTGCATCGGTGGTCAGTTCGCATTTTTCGAAATGATATTTCTGGGCAGCCAAATGCTCCAAAGTGTCATTAAACTGGGGAAAATTTGAGCATTTGGCAGCTGACGACATGATGATGTCCTTGTAGTAGGAGTTCATCACCTCGTAGAATCCCTGACGCGGTACGGAATATGGTTCGATCTTATAGGTGGTACCGCCATCGGTGCTCCGATAGATATTGACCTCCGTCTCCGTTTCCTTGGGAACGTCAATGTTTATGTCAAAAAAACCGGAAAACGCGTAATTTCCACGACTTAAAAGACCGATGCGAACTTCGCCATTGGCAATCGATTCATTCCTGCACGTTAATTTAGTCGATACTGGCATATAGTTCCACGATCTCTATTTATTTCACACAAAAAAAAGGAAGGTTTTATTTAAATTAATGGAAATTTTAAACTGCAATGCTAACTTTATTCAAGCCCGGATTTGCCGCAGCCAAAGCACAAGAAATAAAAATGATAACTGCGGATAGCATTTTTGGTTTGCAGGCAAGTTCTGTCTGCTCTAATTTGCACTTAATTAAGTTGCCATTTATATGCATTTTTCTGGTCAATTCTTATCTGTTAACCGATAGTGTTAACAAGTTTCCATTGTAATTTGTGTAGCAGTTGTTAAACCATTTCACTCATGTCGCTGGCTGCCTAATCAATCTGCAAATAATCGTTAATGTAACTGAACTTATATAAATTATAAACAAAAGTAAAAATTATAAAAGAGCTGCGTGTTTATTTTGTAATTTAAATACAATTAAACATAAGCCCTTTTTACATTGGTTGCAATTATAAAAACCGACTATTTTGAAACACTTTTAAATGTTAATTATTAACACATGTTTCTGACTAACTGAAATAAAATTTTGGTTTAATTAGGTGATGAAATTTGATAGCGTTTGCGAGCGCTAACAACAATGTTTGGCCACAATTCATAACAACTAGCCATAATGGCATCCATGAATATTTCAATAATCCAGTTGAGCTTTATGGAGCGGCAAATTGATTCAATGTTTATCTGACACTTTTCAATGTTTTCATTATTTTGCCTTCGTCTTTTCACCAAAGAATTTGCACAACGCCTTCGTGGACAATCCGGCAATCAAAGTAAACAAAAAAGTTGAAGCCGCAAAAATCAAGCTCAGCTGTTGGCAAAATTTTGCAGTTGATTTAAATTTTTGCTAACCGAATTTGATTGCTGAAAAGTTTCCGCCTGTGCACAGTGACCGCAAAATGTCAACAGCACTTCCCCCCATTTTGAGCTGCACTCAAACAAATATACTTTGACTGCGCTCTTGATATGTGGAAAATAATTAATTTTTTCCAATCTTGTGCAGCTTTTGCAGAGCACTTTGTAGAAATCAAAATGTAAGGATTTAATATTATATATTCATGAGTTGATTATAACAATACATATATTATATAAAGATTATTTCATTTTGTGTTATTTATATTTAAATGTGATTTTGCATTAAACGCTTTTTTTTTAGTTATTTTTATACCCTAATTTCAGTCAGTTCAGTAATTTAAATCGTTTTTATTATCTTAAAATAAACACCTTAATTATTTACTGTCTAATTCATGTACTCACTGCGAAAAAAACTTGGTGCACTGCATCCTGATGACCAGCTCCAAGTTACAAGTAGATGGTGTCACCAATTATTTTCTGCAACCAGTCAAATATACATCCAAAAACCTGCAATACAAATAAAATGAGTATTAATTAAATTATTACACTCCATTTAAAAAAAACCACGTCATCACTTAATTTAAAAAAAATAATCTGCTCTTTTTTTATGTTGTTTAGCCTTTTGCATTTTGTTCCACATATTTGATCGGCTCGCCGAAGCTAGCTTCCTGTCTTGTTTTATATATTAATTTGTTCTATTTGTTTTCTTTATTTTAATAAAATTATTGGTTTTATAAAAAAAATAAGTTCTAACTAAGATTAAATTGATATGGGCAACACTGCGTATGATTGATGTGGAAGCAGAATATCACTCATACGCAGTGTTGTTTTTAAAAACAGCTCTACAAACTTAAAAATAGAAGGTTTTTTATAACAAAAAAAAAGAAAAATAGCTTCCTACCAACAAAAATTGATATACATATTTGAATATTAAAATTGATAATAAAATTTGTCTTTTTTTTTGCAGATCCCAGGAAGAAAGTAAGGAAGCCAGGATGCGTCGCTCCTCGTTCACGCCCGTGTTCAACCTGAGCACCCAGGAGCCGCTGATCGTCGTCGAGGAGTCGCACACCGCCGAGGATGGCGACGAGCTGGAGGGAGCGGCCGGCGGCTGTGATCCGACCGCCGGCGGCACCCGCCGCTCGAACAGCGACGACTCCGAGCCGGACTCGCCGGTGAATCCCTACCTGCTGTGCCCCTTCCCCGACATGCAGCAGCGTCGCAAGCACTCGCTGCCCTCGCTCCAAATCACCGAGGGCATCACCGCCAGCCAGGTTCGTCGCCTGTCGGAAGTGGGCGGCGAGACCGGCGGCTTGAGTCCCAAGGAGGTGGAGTTCCTCGCCACGCTCTCGCAGAAGGCCAATCCATCGGCCGGCGGACGACGCCATTCGGTGGTCACCATCTCGGCGGTGCCGCCAACGCTCTTCGGACGCAATCGCCGCGAGTCCATTTCCGGCGTCTCCTTCAGGTAAATTAGCCACTTGAATTCGAACGGTTTGAACGGTTTGAACGGTTTGCTTTTAGCCATTAGCCATTAGGTATTAGGTATTGCCCATTATGGAGTGGTCACTGGTCGGCGGAGGTGCGGTGGTTCCGCGCAGCAGGACACGCAACCGCAGGACCTTTGTTACCCACTAAAGAGAAAAATTTAACAAAAAAAAAAAATAAAATTAACTTAAACATATAAATTAGTTTAAAAATTGAGAAGAACATTTTTATAGTACATTCCTCGAAATTAATCAGTAAAAAGATTTTAGGTTTATTTAAAAATATGCGGAAGCTTAGCAACAGACCTTGTAAAATATTTTTAATCCATAAATTAGTCCCCCTAAAATTAAAATTTGTTATCAAAAGTAGGATTACCTTAAAAAGGAAATGTGGCATACAAACATTCACAAGATAAACAATACAAACAGATTGATTATTTTATATAGAACTCTTGTTAGAATCATCACAGATTAGTCCCTCATTTTTTCTCAGTGCACCTAGCCCTCGGACTGGACAGCTCTTGCCCTTTTCGTATCTACGACTCCATGTACCGGGCCTAATTGAATTGCGCCGCCGGCTGTTTCCAAGCTTTTGTGCTGTGACAGCAGAATTTTGATACCCTAATGGTTAAGGAGGCGGCGTCGCAAGTGGGCGTGGCCAGATCGAGAATGGGAATGGAATAGCATTGCCGGGGGCATAATGAGATTGTCATAAACTGCGAACGGTCATTGCCATATGATGAGGCCAACTAAATGAGTCGAGCAATCAATGCCAAGATGCAATAAAATCTCGGGGATGTCGAAAAGTTTGCTGCATACTTTTTTGGGCTTCTTCGGGTTCGATTTTATTTGCCAAAAAATGTTATGGTAGAAAATGTGTTCTTTAACAGCTTATCGCCGAAGATTTTGTAGGTTTAAATCTATCTTAAATTGTATAAAAAAAAAATAAATTCTAAATTATTATGCGTTTTATTGCTAGATCATTCTAATAAAATTCGATTTTTATAATAACTATTTAGAGCATTTTGTTTTCGACTTTCCTGCCCAAAATCATTTGCCATTCTGACCACATCCCCGTTGCTTTTGGCCCTGACTTTGTTCAAGTTCTGTGCGACCGTTGTGGCCATTTAAATTGCATCCCACCCAGCCTGGCTAACTTGCCCCTTCCCCGCCAGCTTTTTCCCCATGTCGCGTGTCCATTAAATGCCCAACGCACTTTACGAGTCCAAGTTGGCGGCTGGAGATGAGCGGCTCTGGGGATGGAACGGCCAAAAGAGGGTTGCGGGGGGCAAGAGGGGGCGAAAGGGGGCGGGGGCACACGGGCGTATAATTTATGCTAAAGTGATAACCGCAGACCCATCAACCACTTACTATCGGTGCACATGGATGTGCGGAATGTCCGGGCAGCAAAGAAAAAGCCTGAAACATTTTACTTTTTTATTTTTTGGCTAGGAGAGGTAAAGGTAAATTAAGAAGAGGCTTTAAGGCAAGAAGCTGTGCTAGTAAAATTCTGTAAATACTTTATTTAACTAAGATTAAGTTGATATGGGCAACACTGCGTATGATTGATGTGGAAGCAGAATATCACTCATACGCATGGTAGGTACATCACTCATTCGCAGTGTTGTTTTTAAAAACAGCTCTACAAACTACAAAATAAAAGTTTTTGTAACGAAAAAAAAAGAAATACTTTATTAAGAAAAGGAACAAAATAAAGAAAATAATTGTAAATAAATGTGTATAAGCTGATTTTAAAAACTGCATTCTTTTCTAGAAACAACATATTATTCATAAAAGTATTTTATTTTATTTTGAAGACAAATCTATTTTACTTTTCTATGAAGAAAGCAATGAATGAAGGTTCAAATAATATTTATTCCTTAGCTTACATGTTTTTATATATATTACAACTGACTTATTATTTTTTGCAGTGGCAGTCGCCGGGGCAGCGTGATCGCCGGACCGCCGCTGACCGACCACCGCGGCAGCGTGCACAACTTGCAGCTGGACATCATGGACGGGATCGTGCAGCAGCGGAAGACGCGCAGCGGCAGCGGCGTTTGGACAGCGCCCGTTCTGCAGGAGGCCGACAGCAATGTGCCCGTGCAGACATAAGCGGTTACAGGACACGCAGGACATCTGGGGGATGGACGGACGGGCGGGGAGATCAAAGGATAGATGGATGGTTGGATGGATGGACGGATGGACGGATGGACGGACGAGTGGATAAATGGATTGATGGCTGGGATCGAAGCGGAGCCGAGTGGAGCGGAATAGCTGGACGCTCGAACTGCAACTGGACTTTTATTAACATTTCGTGTTTACCACCCACCTCCCCTTTTGGCGCTCAGGCCCGATTTTCCGCCGGGAAATTGCTTTTCGCGGCTGCCGCATAAAGCAAACAAACAAACCGCACAAAAACAACAACCAACAAAAAAAAAAATCGCACAGAAAATGGCAAAGAATGGTGGGCGAAAGCAGCAAAGAAAAAAGAAACACAGAGCAAAAGAAAATATAAAACTTCGAAAATGAAAAACTGTAGTTAAACAAAGAGCGAGGCAGTTTAAGATGAAAAGAATTGGTAGCAAAAAAAACGAAATAAAAAAAAAAAAAAAAAAAGGGAAAAGCGTGGCCACAAAACGAAATGAAAACAATCGGTGAAAAGCAACAGAGAAAAACGCATCGCGAAAATTTTGATTGCCAGCAATTTCGGTTAACACCTGTGCAATCTGCCACGCCCACAAATGTCGCCAGTTCCGTTCGTCCCCCCTCCACTCCTCCACCCCCCGCACTCTCCACCCAAAAACAAAGAAAAAAAAAAAAACAGCCACAATTACGACTTAAAAATTGCCAACTCCCCTTTCGTACAAGGATAATTGCAAATAATATTTAATTGGAGTGTTCAAGAAGAAGACGAAAGACAAAGGATAACAAAGATAGCGCAACACTCGAAAACCCTTCCTCGAAATAAAGATAATTCCCGAATGGTCAAAAAAGGAACAATTACCCAAAGTAAGTTGCTATTTCAAAGGATCTTATTTTATTTTATTTTCGTTTTTAATTTATTATTGGTTTTTTATGTTTCAAACTGGGGAAGGACAAATTAAAGATTTTTAGTCAGACAGTGAAAAATAAATTTTCTGTTTTACTTTTCCCAACTTGTTTTAATTATCGCTAAATAATATTCGAAACCTTTTTTTAAGAGGATCTTTTAATTGGAGGTACATAAAATGCCAAAATATAGACCAAGTTTCCCTCCTTCCTTTTTTTTTTTGAGAGATTTCTTGCTGTATTTTTTTGCATTTTATTTTTGACATTTGTCAATGGGCTGTGTGCATTTTTAATAATCCCACTGCTGGCCAGCTGCACATAAAAAACACACAGCAGCACATACATAATGAAATGCAGCATTGCCACAAGGACACGTGATGGGTGGTTCGGTGGGTGGTTCGGTGGGTGGGGCTGTGTTGCTTCTGTTGGGTTGGAAATGGGGGCCAAGGCCGTGGCAAGGCCGACTGGCGAATCACCCTGAACCCAACTCCTTGCAACTGGCAGCCAGCCTCCTACGAGCAACGTTGCGTATGAGTAATATTCTGCAGCAACAATGCCAATGCCATGACCAAGGAGACCGGGCGTGTTTTTAATGGCTTGTCCACTGCACCACCACCACTGCCCATTGCCCATTAACCACCACCCACTGCCGTCCAATAAAGCTAATTTAATGCGGGTGGTGGTGGGTGTCCACTCTTAATTGAAACGCGTGTTAGTTTGCATTCTGTGGTGGCACTCAGTCGCCGCCCGGAAACTAATTATAGAAAATCAAAATGCAATTCCGATTGCCAACTGAACTGCGTTTAGCTGACTGCCGGCGGCCATTTGGTTTGGTTGGCAAAATGTGGGCAAACATCAGTTTGTCCTCGCTAAGCACGGTAATCGTGTAGAGCTAAATTAATGGCCTGAAATTATCAAGTGTCCTTTGGCAGAAGGAGCATAGATAATCTCTGACAGATGGCTGCAAATGTTACAGCGTTTAATTCCTGCTGGAAAGTTGCCTTCAAGATGTTTGATTCCATAAAGGTCATTTTAAAAGGGATTGTTTTAATAAATTAAAATAGATTTTAAATGTAAATTTTTAAATATATTTTTTTAATTTGATATTATAATTTATATACCTTATCTAATAATGAAATACATTTTTTTTTTATTTCCACAGGTTCCATCAGCAATCGATTTAACAACAAAATACAACTCTATCTACTCACTCTATAATAAAACAAGAAATTAAATCAATATATTGTATATTCAGGAATTGATAAATTAGTGAATAACTAGCAAAAACGAAAAGAAGAAAAACTCAAGAAAACCAAACAAGAAAGCGACTTAAAAATAACTATTTACTTAGGCCCTAGTCACTCCTCATTTTTTGGATGTTGTGTAGATTTGTGAACCACCGCATGGAAGAAACCACCAATGAAGATACTAAGATACAATCCCACAGACTATTTATCGATAGAGAGCAGAAACCAACTCAAATATTAAGTGGAGAACCTCAGGTGCTTTTTAAACTAGCTTGTTTTTTCTTTTCATTTATCATTCTAATCCGATTGATTCAATCAACAAGTGCAATCAAAATTGAAGAGAGTTGACAAATGTACCATGTATGTACCTAAAAAAAAGGAAAGCCCAACACTAAACTTTAAAGTGGAACGTATGAAAATGAAAATGAAAATAAAACCTTAGGCTAAGTGAAAACAATTTATCGCCGAGCAGTAACAGTAATAAAACTAAGTGGAAAGTCAACTATTTTTGAACTGGGCTTGCTGCTTGCCCAGCCCAGCAGGTCAGCCAGCCTTTAGTTCGATTAGCCAACCCCCAAGTCCGAAACCCCAATTAAAATAATAAAATAATATAACATAACGAAAAACTAAGAGAATTTGGAGATTTCTTCAATTTTGATTTCGGGAATTTTCGAGCAGCACAATATGTTTAATTTTTTTTTTACAATTATGTAGCAATGTATATGTTGCTTTACCTTTTTATTATTTAGTTACTTATTTATTAAATAGTCATTTACATACATTTTTTTTATAACTTATCCAAACTTAGGACTTAGTTGAACCTTCTTGTTATTGAAAACATAACATGTTCTAATAATTTTAGATCCTTAAACATTTTAATGGCAACAACCTGAAAAAATGCATCTTATTTGAATTAAAAGTTACCCGAAACTAAAAAAACAAAAAAATTCAAATTGAAGAGATCGACAAGCTCTCAAGTCGATGGAGTTTTCTTTTACATAAGTCTCGATGTTGTTATCGCTTATAGAATATACACTTAAGTATATCCTCATTAAAATAACATTTAGAATGTACATAACAAAATACTCGAATACTTAATTTGCTCTTTGTGTTCCTCTGTTCAAACCGGAAACGAGTTTGCGCCTTCTTAGCACTCCAGGAAAATTAATGAGAACCCCACGAGCACTAAAGAAAAAGGGGGAAAGCTCCCCCACGGAAAAACCCCTTTCCTCTATTTTGACCTGAGAAAATGTCGCTGGACGACGAAGGAAAAAAAAGAGACGTATGAAAAAAAAAAACATAAACTAGACAATTTTTTTATTTTTAAACATAGTCAAGGATTATCAACATGAGACGATGGAAAATTAGGCCGAGGCTGGCAAAATGATTATGAGTAACAAATGATGTAAAAGATATATTTATAGAAATGAACTATATGTATACATACTGACAGATCGATTATATGATTATATAGTAACTTATTGTCACAACGCAAGAGCAATCAATGTTTAACTTTATTAAATGTTACAAAGAGTTTTAAATATTAAAAATATACCTAATGAAAATATATACAGATATACCTATATATTGCAGATTATATTCTATACATATAATTTGTAGGTGAAGCTAAGATGAACAAAATACTAGACGTACTCGTAGTTCGCCATTATGTTTGCCAAAAGTCGGAACTTAATGTAAACGAAGTTGTGTCAGCCCATACAGGAACTAAAAATATATAATATATACTAAACTACGTGTTTATTTACTCGAGAATTTTCCAATGTCTCATTAAAAACCATTTGTAATCTATTGAATCCGTGAATAATTCAGCAGCTGTCCCAAAATGCCTGAAAATTGTTCGGGAAAAAAGCACAACTTGAATTTCATAAAAGCCAAAAGAAAAACATTTTCCAGGCTGGCACTCTTCATCATTTTTTTGTTATTAATTGTTTTTTTGTGTCTTAGAATTAATGTTATTAAATAAAAAATGTGTGTGTCGCTCTGTCTCTGTCTCTATTGTGTTTGAGATTACTCGTATCTTATAATGAATATTATTACTAAACTAAAGCAAATGAATAAAGAAACGTAAGAAAGCAGAAAACGGAGTAAAACGCAGAATGGAATCCGAAAGAAAAATTAAAATTACTAATTAAAACGATTACTTACAGTAGAATTAAGAATACAAAGATTAAATAAAGAAAACGATTTCCTTAAATTAACATTGGTGTACAATTTTTTCAAAAGTTTGTTGAGCTTTCAAAGCGAAAGCTGAGCTTTTATTGGCCATTTTACCCAAGTCACCGTTATATTATTTTCCCGAAGCTTTAAGCTTTAAACGGTAAGCTTTGAAATTGGTGAAAGTGTCGTATAAAGGATTGGTTTTGGCCAAAACCCAAAATTAGAGGTAACTACAGGCGGGCTAAGAGCTTTTGGCTGTAAGCAAGCTTTTATTTTAAACGGCTAAACAGTTGTTAAATATATAGACTTAACGTTAATAAGCCATTAACTAAGGGTTACGTGTAAAATGTGTTGTCGAAAGAACAAAATCAGTTAACTCACATGATTCGTGTTAACCTGTCAAACATTTCCAATTATTAACATGCACATGATCGCTCTCAATAATTGAACTTGCGTCATATCCGCTGCATCAAATTACATTTCCGGAACAACAGTTTAAGCCAATTTGAAGATGAACTACACGATAAAGATTCCTAAATCCGATAAAGGAGAGCAAATGTTGTGTAACTAATAATTAATGTATACTTCTAAAATGAATTTAAGAATCATGCAGTTTTGCATTTAAATTTCAGCTGCGAAAATCTTTGGCACTGGGCAATAAACAACAAATAAAATCGGTTGAAAATATTCTTTATAAAATATCACTAATTGCGCATATAATTTGTGTAAGCCGTGAAAGTCTCAGCCATTTATTAAGCAGACAAAACGAGCTAAACTGACGACCTTGGCGCGCCGCCACTCAAGAACATGCTCAACGGCTAATTCAACTTTGGATGGTTAATACTCGCATATTTATTTTGATCATTTTCGAACGGGTCACGCTTCTGCCAGTGACCCTGGCCTCAAAACGCCCGAGAATCTCTGGATAAATAAACAAGAACTGCACGCTTTGGCCTAAATGCATGAATAGTGCTTTTCGCTTTTTCTACGCTCTTGCCAATTGTTTTTCTTGGCCCTATCCCCTTGCACCCTCAACAATGTAAGATTAAGAGTGATGGTTTTTTTATGGCAATGGGAAAGGGATTTTACCTATTCCATAATACATTTTCTTTATAATCCGTAACGTTCGGTGATGTCTCTGAAAGCGATCTGGCTGGTCTGGAAATTCATTTCAGCGGTAGCTGTATTGCTATTCTTAAGTATATATATGTAGTTATGTATGTAGTTGGCCACCTGATAGGCGAAACAGCTTTGCAGTTCCGAAAGCCTCAAGTGTTCCGATTCTCCTTCTAAGAATGCGGAACGCCAGAAGCCGTGGAAAAGTTTTTTAGGAGCCGAAACAGCTGGTCATTTGTTGACTGATGAATTTTCCGCAGAGCGCGGCGGAAGTAGTTTGAAAACACTCCGAAAGTAAAAAGTATATTATCTTGAATTTAAAGTGATTTTAAACTCGATAATGATTTTGTGGCGGAACAGACTTTCGATTGAGGGAAACATTTGGTAAATACACTTTTAAACGACATTTGGTTGGCTATTTAAAATGTATTTACCAGGGACAAGTTAATTAAAACCATTGTAAATATAAAATAAAGGCGTTTCATCATTAAAAATGATTTGGTTTCTACAAAGTTGTCTAGCAATAAAACATGAATAGCAGGGTTTTCTTAATGAATGGAGTCATAAAAAGAAACTAATAAAAAAGTGACTAAACAAGTGAATTAGGAACTAAAGTTTATCTGATGAAGTTACAATCCTCTTGTATATTTATGATATTTTTAGGTTCGTCTATCTCCTTTTAAAAAAGTTATCCTGTTATTGAAAAGTAAACGTAATAGTATTAGCTATTATTTTGTTATATTATTAGTTAACCATTTTTTAAGTTGATAGGCAACCTGTTGAAGGGCAACCATTATCTGCAACTCGAGCCGCGTTCGCAGAGAACACGAGCTGCTATCAAACATGTTGCACGTGGCAAGTAGCGGGCAATTGTTTACTCAATACTCTAGACGCGACGCTGATTTCGCTTTCAGATCGAGAAAAAAAAAACACAAATTGGCCCCCTAAAAAATAAAGGTATCATTTGTCCGGCGACAAACGTCGGCCGACATATGTATACGTATTTGTATATGTATATACACAAAAACACTTGTGTGCAGCGCGACGCGGCGGCTTAAGTAGCTGCTCCAAATAATAAATTCAATTGTAATCAGAATCGTTTATGTAAATATTCAAATCGTCAATTTACCCGCGGAGCCCGGAGAATTGTCCTCCAATAATCCGTGAGGCGGGGAAAGTGGGAGGCGAAGCTAAGAAAGGGGCGGTGAGAGGGGGGTGGCATGGAGATGGCGGGGCAGATGCAGATAAGCATCCCATTAAGATAACAATAAACTCAACAAGTTGTTCTGAAAAACTGTCAATTGGAGCCACGCACTGTGGCAGCAACAATTGTGCGTATAAAAACACAACATGCAACGTGTTGCACGTTGGAGCTTGCCTGTTGAACTGTGCTTCATCAGAGGTGTAGATGGGTGCCACAAAAACCAGTTAATACCTTTTTTTTTGCTTATTTTTAAATTTAATTATATTTCGAAATTTTGTAAATTCACAGTGGTATGTTAAATAAAGGCAAACAAATTTATTTTATAATACGAGATCCATTTTCATAATTTATTTCATTCAATTTATATTTATTAATATGTAATATAAGAACATTGTCCAGTAGGTTTCTATACTGTTCTAAAGTAGGTTCAAATCCGAATCAAAAAATTCTAAACGGCTTTTATGTATTTTCTTTCAGATCTGACTAGAAGGACTTAAATCAAAAATCTTCCAGCTACGATTTGGTTAAATACATATTAGTTAAAAATATTATTTATTTTGTTTGATTAATTGGTATCTTTATTTAATATATAATAACAAATGACTTACACATGTGATATGTGTTTTTAAAGTAATTAAAGTAAAGTAATATGTAAGAAATGTGAAATAAATAATTAAGAACTCCCCCTTTATTTAAAATATAATAACAAATGACTTACACAATATTACATGTGTTTTTAAAGTAATTTAAAGTGTTATAAATATATGTAAGAAATGTGAAATAAATAGTTAAGAACTCCCCCTAGTGAGCCCCCCTTGAAGGCGGCGCCCCACTCTCGCTGGTGACGACAGCAACGCAACGTGTTCGAAGGTTCGACGGTTCGAGGGCATGGGGGTTCGAGCCGGCGGTTCGATGGCGGTTGGATGGCGCCCTGGATCGCATCCATCCGCCGGCCAGTCCGGCAGTCGCTCGCGCAGCGACGTCGTGAACGGTCAGCCAGCGCGGCTAGTAAGCAGCTCCAAATACAGTTTAAGCTACGGCCAAAGCTACGGCTACAGTGCAGTGGCAGTGAGACTGACTCAGACTCAGATCCGAACCGAATCGAAATCGAAGATACGTCCAGCGTGGGCAGCCAATAAAAAATATTTAAAAATAGGAAAAAGAACATAACAATACCGGAGCCAAAACTAAGAAAAAAAGGCTCCCCGAAAGTTCCAGTTGAGTGTTTTGAAGTTATTTTTTTCGAGTGAGTGCGGTAAATATTTCGATCTTTTTTTCCTGTGCCCACAAATAACACAAAATACATGATATAAACAACCAAATCAGTGAAAATCTCAATCGCTAAATATCGAATGTGAAATATGGAAAACACGAATCGTAGAAACAGAAACGCAGGGGCAGACAGAAAGAAAGCAGCGCATTTATTATTTTACTTAACGATTTTTCTTCTTGCAATTTTTATTTTGCACACTTTGTGTGTTGGGTCAGTTTGGCGGCTTTCGCCACTTTACGAGCAACTTCCTTTTTTGGCCGGAGAAAAACCAGTCTGGCCAAGAGACCTCTCTGGCCAGAAAGACATCGCGACGTCGGCAAGGTCCAAACCATTGCAAATGTAAACAAAACAGCAGCAAACCGTATTTGTTTATGACTGGGCTAGCCAGGATAAGACCCCGAAAAAGCCCAAAAGAATTTTGAGACCCGCAAATGATTTGCTACGACTTCCCCGGCAGACATTCTCAAGTGAGACTACTCGACGAAACCAACCGCCCCGAATCGCCCCGCCCCGAACCGCCAGAAAGTCCCCCGAAAGGCCCGGTGAAAGTTTCCCAGTCGCAACTTAGAACTCTCTTCATTTTCGGGTTTCTTTATTTTTTGCTTGATAAATGAGTCGCTGGCATGGCCCCCGGGGCGGTAAATCATCTCTGCTTGTGGCACTGACAATTTCACAAATTTATATATTTGCCACAACACCGAAACACTCACAGTCGAAAGTTTTCCACTTCAAAAGCAAATTTGACTAGCTGCAAAAGTGCATGGCTTTCAATGTGAAAAATTGGCCAGAGTTATAGGGGGACAACAAAAAAAAAAACGATAACAATTGCGGAAATCGGAAATCCCAGTGTGATAATTCAAATCCGTATATCCGAAAATATTCCAGAAGAGAGTATTACCGTTTCCGAAAAGCATTGATTACTTGTTCAATTAAATGGAAAACTCTCAGTATCAACCGAACCCCCATTAAAAATTGTTGAAATAGAAAATATTTTACCCAACAATATTGATATAAAATTGGATCCCCGTTGAGAGTTCAGTTTTTCGAGAACATCAATTTTGTATACTTTTCAAACAGAAATTATGTGCAAAGATGGTTTATGTTAGTGATACGTTAGTGCCAAAGACAAGTTCCCTGGCAACTGGAGCTCCCATTTCGAGTGGTTCCCCCGCTCGAGAATTCTCCATGTCGGCTCTCGATTTTTTCTCCGCTTTTCGCTTACTCCGCAACTCACATCGAATGGCAATCTGGAAAATGCCAGTCAGATCCAATTGCATGCCACATATGCAGATGAAATGGGAGAGTCGGCCCACTCGCCACCCCTTGCCACACGTAACCCCCCTCTTCAAAAAAACCCCTCCCCCCTAGCAAAACCCCCTTAGGCCCCCCGCTAACTGTACCGATGATCTGCTTGCCTCATTGCCGGTTAGAAAGCCAATGGAACGAGTTTCGTTGAGTGTGCAACTAATTTTCTAAATTGTTGTCGCTGCTGATCGTCGAGCGTGGCAAAAAAAAAAAAACAACACACACATATTATTTATATGGCCAACATCGCACAAAGAAAATACCTGTCAGCAAAATTGGTCATCAATTTGGTGGCTTTTTCGCTGTCTAGAAATGTTTTTATCAATGACGTTTCAATCAGATCTTCTCTTAAAAAAATGATATGCATAAACACGTTATGATCTTACTTAAAGGTGATATCATTTTGCCTCTACGTGATTTATGAATAAATTAAATAAAACTTATCAGATTCTTTTAACTATAAACAGTATGTCTAGCTAGTGACTCATATGCTATTAAAATATTTATTCAAAAATATGCATAAATATTTGATTATTTATAATTAGGATGATAAGATTTTGTATGATATTTAACTTTCTCAACTTATAGGTTTTAAATAGATATGCCTTATAAATGACGAAAGCTTAAGATTTCAAAATGTCTAAGGTTTGCAAGGTGATTAGGGTCCGGACAATGGGTCCACATATAGAGTGGGTGATGTAGCCGAGATTTTAGATCCGATATCACCCATTCATCATTGAGAAGATCGATCTGTCATTTATGCGATTGATTGATTGAATTTTAATAAAATCTTTGGATTCTGATTTATTTTTTATATCGGCTTTTTTCGTTTTGGGAGTGCGTCGTCATCATTTAATGGTGGAGAAAGACGAACCAGAACCCATAGAAGACGAGGAGCTACCAGAACCTAGAGTAAGAAGAAGAGTGGGCTCTAAAAAGAGAGGAGGCGAGGAGAGACAAGTTAATGGATTAGGAAGCGAGCACAAAAGGCAGCGAAGAATCGAATCTCGGCTACTTGCGACATTCTCCCTCTTCCTCCCACTCGCACCTAAGTAGGCGGGTTAGAAAGAGAGGCGATGAGATAGAGAGAAAGAAAGAGCCAGAGCGGAATTTGATGGCCAAAGGAAAGGTGAAAAGAGGCAACTTGGCTTAGACGATGATGATGATGACTGTTTCTTGATGGCTCTGTGTACGTGTGTGTGTGTGGACAAACAGGTATCACGCACACACACAGACACATTCACACCTGTGTGGAATAACTAAGCAGCGACCCGATTTTGAACAAAGAGAGATAGAGAGAGATTTAGAGAGAGAAAAAACAGAGCTAAGAAGCCATGCCATGCGCTTAAAAAGTATTACAAATCTATAACAAATCTACCATGAATCTACCAACCAACAAAGATTATTATGGAACCCGACGGTTATCCCCAATATTTCCAGTTTTTAAAAGTTAAATATGTATGTTTCTTGAAATATTAAAATTCTTTTTGAAATCTTGCTAATTGATTCTGACAATCTTAACGGTAAAATGTTTAACTTTTTAAGCAGTTTACATTTAATACCAGTTAGTTGCAAGCGGATGCCTTACACTTTGGTTTTAATCAATATTCTGACAACGTATACACAATGAATTAGACAAAGTGTCTTTTTAAACGATTTCCATACCTCTAATTAGTTATTTCGATTCCGATCGTAGGTATTCCTTTTTAAGACCGCCCAAGAGCAAGAATTTGGGCCCTGTAAACACATCTAAACTATATAGGCCGAAAATCGGTATGCAAAAACAAGAACAAGTAGTCTTCATATGTAAAACTGTTCTCATTAAGTTCCCAACAGATCATTATGACGTTTCGCCTCATCTCGCTCTTTCTCTCGCTCCGTCGGTTGTGTACTTGTATGAATTAAGATTTTTGTTTTTTGTGATTTTGCCGGTTGCCACACCTGAAATTCAACTCTCTCTCTCTCGCTTGCGCCAACGCAGCAGCAGCAGCGGCAGCAGCAAGAACAAGAACGGACAAAAGGAAAGACTTAAACGACATACGTGTCTCGCGCTCTGCTGACGTCGCCGCTCTCCCTCTCTATCGCACTGTTCCTCGGCCCCACTCTCCACACTCTTCTCTCTGATTTGTGTGTTTTTTCTTTGGTTTTCTTTCAGTTCGTTTCAACAGGCGCGCCGTCGCAGTTCGAAAAGCGCGGCTCTCGCGAACGAAACAACAGCTATTAAATTTAACTAGTTACAAAGGAAACGCGCGCCTTAAATAAATCAAGAAAATTGGTTCGTCTTTTAGAAACGCAAAAACCGATTTTTTTTCAAGTGCTGTCAAGTTAGTGTTTTGTTCTCTTTTATTTTCTGTTTTTGTGTTTGCCCTTTTGCCTGTTTTCGGTTTCTGTTTTGATTCTGGTTTTCCCATATTTTCTCTTTTTCTTACCTGTTGTCTTGGCCTGCAACAAACAACAACAAGAAAGCAATAACAAACGGATCTATTACCAAAAAAAAAAAAAAAAAGAAATGAAAGAAAAGTGCCAGCACAAGGATTTTGGGTCTCTCTCTCGCACTCGGCGGCTCCCTCGCTCTCTCTTTGGCTCTCCGGATTACACTCTTCTTTTTGCCAGCGACAGGTAAGCAAAAACAATAACAACCAGAAAATCAGAAAAAGAAAAACAATTTTCTTGTAATTTTAATTGGAAAACGTGTTACGTTGAACATACAAAAATGTGGAAAACTGATGAAGAAAATGTTTTTGGAAAATGTTAGGCAAACGAAGACATGTGAACTAGAAGCAGAGGAAGCTGTCGCTTGCCGGTCGAGCGGTAAATTAAGCGGTTCTCTCATTCCCCACTATCTATCACTCCCTCCATGTGCACCTGTATGGGTATTTTCTGTACCCTTTGCCCATTTTTGACCCATCAAAATCAAATTGCGCAGTGACAGCTGCTTAAAATAAAACGCAATATACTTTCGGATCAGTGGTGCCATAGAAATTTGTAAGGTGAGGCCTAAAAACAATAAGTATAAAAATAAGATATACTGCTCTTAACTGATTTTGTGATGGTGTTAAAATAGGTAATGAATCAGTGTCACATTAATTTCCCTTCCATCTTAAATAGTTTTAATTTTAAGCTTAGATAGAAAAAAAAGTACCTTCCAGTCGCTTTTCAAAGACTCGTTCTAATTTGCGGTTGTCTTCTTGTTTATTTTTGTTCTGCTCCTAACTTTAGTGGCATTCCCTTTACGCTCATCAACTCGTTTGTTGTTGGGTTGCATTTTCTGCGCTGTTCAGTTTGGCCCAGCCAAACCCCCCATGGGTTTTTCGCCCCCTCCCCTCTACGCACCAGGAACTTGCTGATTTTCCCCTCCGTTCTGTCTCATTGCCTTTGCTTGTTCGCCGTCCTTTTCCGATAGCAATGCATTTGGAACCAGATCTTACAAGAATTTTTCAAGGGGGAGCCAGCATCTTGCTGTCCCTCTTTGAAATCTCCCCCTCTCGTTTCCTGCTGGAAGTGTGTGTGCGCGTGTGTGTTTGAAATGTTTTTGTTGTTTGTTGCCGCTGATTAAATTGTTTGAGAACTTTCGTTTATAATTTGATGTCCGCCCGCTCTCGCCCGCTGCTTGAAAACTCGCCACCCATTCGGCGACTTTCGCCCGGAAAATTCCACCCACCACCCACCGCCCACCGTATTTAGTTTCATTTCTGTGTGCAATTAGGCAGCATTTATCTCGTTTAAATTTGCGGCAGTTTACGAAGCTCAGCGGGTCCCGCTTATCGCAAAAACCCAAACAAAGCGCAAAAGATTCGTGGGTGGGGTACACAGTCCGAAAAAAGTTGTAAGGTGTATTATTTTTGATTAAAACATTCAATAGTAAAGTAATACGTAAGATAAGCTTTATCAGTATATGGAAACATGGGAAGTTCATAAAGTTGAATCAGAAATATTTCAAATATATAAATTTCTTAAAGTGTAGGGAGGCTGGAGACTGATGGATGCCCGGCTAAATATAACTTAGAACTTTTCAGAGTCTCTGGTCAAATGAGATTTGAAGAAGAAGATGTGTACGAGGTGGAAATGATTAGGAAAGATGAAGAAAAACCGAAGGACTTTTAACAAGGGACGTTGCCACAAAGTTAACAACCCACCTTTAAAAGAAAATATATATTAAGTTTATGTTCTCAAGTATTAATTATCAGGGGAAGCAATTGAATTCTCGGAAGAGATAATTACCCTTTCTGAAAGCCATAGAAATCCAATTGAATCATTCTCATACGGGCCTAATCCTCAAAACCAACTGTCTTATCCTTCGCCCAACACAAATTTATACCGAATGGGTCTCCATAACAGACCTACTTACTCAATTGTTTCTCGCTCACTTCACATGGCAGACACGCCTCCTTTTCGAGCCCGCAAACGTTGCAAAAGCACCTTTAACCTCCAACCTACCGACGTAGGAGGCTCAGGCTACCCAATTCTAATGCATTTCCAAACCCTGATGGCAATTGAAATGCTGCTGCAGTGGAAGAAGCAGAAGGAGCTGCATCACCAGGAGCATCATCATCGTCTGCTCTTGTTGTTCCGTGTGGCATGTCATCATTAGGATGTCGTCTGTGCACTATAAACTGGGATATCACCCAGTAGAGCTGGGTATATTGGGAGCGGTCCTTGGATTGAGAATTTATTGTTTAATTTTGAATAGGTAAATTTAATTAATTGTGTGGTTTTAATCAAAATTAGATGTTAAAGGTTTTTTTTTAAACAATTAGTCTTTGTTTGATAAATGTGCATTATTTTTCCTTAAATTAATAGGTATCTTCTAGTGTCAAAATCCTATTGTAACGTTGCTATTTGTTGTATTTGGTCCTACGGATACCCCAATACCCCCTGATTGCGACCCCTCCGGTCTCTAGTTGGATCTTCTGTTTCTGCGGCGGCTCTAATGCATTTTTCATGCATACATTTAGCAAACGTTCGCCAATCAGACGATGCCGCTACTTGATGCCTGTCTGTCTCTTTTGGACGCCCCACTCGGCCCAACCCAGCCCCAATTCCCAATCTCCAAGCCCCAACCCGCCCCTCTTATTGTCCGTCCGTCCGGAACTCAACTCGACTGCAGTTTTTTGGTATTTGTCATGTTGACAAATTGCAATGCCAACCAACATATGTGGAATGATTCGGGGGGAGCCGAAGGATATCGGGCGGCGGGAGGGGGAGTGCCGATTGAGGGGCTGCCGCTCACAAGTCCCAAATCCATATGCAAATGCCATTGACAGGTGGGCAGGCGCAGGTAATCTGCATGACAATTTTTTTCTTTTTATTGTCCTGTCTGTTTGCCTGGCTAAATGCACCGGGAGAAATCCGGTCGTTAATTGGCTTCGCTGCAAAGTGTTTGATTGAATTACTCAATTGATTAGATTTAATTAGAAATTTGCACTGCGATGGGGGAATTGCCAGACGAACAGCATAATTGCATTGTTTTCGAAGCGGAGAGAGTGGATTTAAATGTTGAAGCTTTCTAAGCATTCGGTGTTTCACCTTTAAATTTCTGCTGTACTTAACTTAAAGCTTAATAAAATGTATCTATCTGTATTTTTTTAAGGTGCAACAAAGACCTAAAACAATATTAAACCTTCATTGGGCATAGAAATTCACTGATTCGAACCAATTCAAACTCGATTGAGCTGTGGAATTCTTTCGTTTAGTACATCGCCCCCCGCGCGCGGCTGTGTCAAAGTGCTCTCGAACAATTGCATTTTAATTGCAGCTACAATTGCAGCACTTTCGCCGCTATATCGCCCCCACCTGGATATCTGCGCAGATTCGGTCCAGAAATGCTAATCAAGTTTTGGCCGCTTTCCGCTTCCGCAGTTGATTTCCATCGGTAAATCAACGTTCCATCGCATCGCTTGTATTTCAGTTTACGAGAACGTGCCGAGTATTGTGTACTATCTCCCAAAATGTTTTGTATTTTGTTTAATTTTTTTGTATCTTGCGGTTTTGCTTTAGCCTTGGATTCGATGAGATCACACAGCCGTGGCGATTGGTCATATCAAAATCAAGCGAAGCTCTTGTTTATTTTTCCAGGGAAAAAGAGGGTTGCCTACGTTTTTTTTTTTTTTTTTTTTGAGAAAAACAAATAAGTAACAGAAATTTGAAAACAAATTGGCGAGACGTGAGGGATATTTTTTTATTCTTTAAGAAAGCCCTCTTTGTTTAATTGAAAGGTACTTGCTTTCAGTCTGTGACCTCGAACTTTTCCGCATTAAGTTTGCAAACGATATTTGATTTATTTTCAATTTGCACAGCAATGGTCTTTTGTACTCTTTAGGTTTTGTTTTTTGGCCTTGAACTGTCTGATTTCAAATTCATTAACCTTACCAATTTTAAAGTCTAAAGCATGGTATATAGTTTTAACTATCATGATAGGTTTATTGTTTTAATAGATTTCTGTCTGTTAATGAATTAGAAAATGTTTGTGATGCTTAGAACTTAGAAATGGCTTAAAAAACACGTTATTATCTGCTATTAATTTGTTAAACCTTTCAACACTTTGGACAACCGCTTCGGGTAACCCCAAGTCGGCGTTAATTTATACTCACCTCAAAGCCAGTTCCGTTTGGGTAATATAACTACTCCAGGGGCAGGAGACAATTAGGTTTTTTATTAATTAACAACTGCACCCTGTGCGATGTTCAGACACTCACGTGAAGCATCCATCAGATTGTTTTCCAGGAATACTCAATTCTCTACCGATAATTTATGTGCTAATTATTTAAAGCCACAATTTGCAAATAATGTTGATACAATCGAACAGCACATATGTACATACGTTATATACAGATATAGATGTTCGAGTAGAAATTCCCCCGAGCCCAGAATTATTCCAGTTTTCAACTTCTCGCTCTCCCTTGGGGATTTCGCGGGGTGCCCGTGTTCCCAAACAGGTCTCGAGGCTCCACAGTAAGAAAAAATAAAAAAAGTTCGAGAAAAAATACGGCACTACAGCGAACTTAATTAGAAACAACAGCAACAACTGCGGCGGGGCAAATAAAAATTAGAAATCTTGAAATGTTGCTAAAGTTGTTGAGCATCTGTAGTGGATACGTGGCTCTGGCGGTTGTTGTTATTTTTATTTGATATTCTTTTGCAAAAAGTTTTATAAAAAGCGGCTTCGCGGCTGTGGACCAAGTCATGTGAATGGCTTATGCTAATTTTACTTCATTTCGCTGTTGCTTTAATTGTTCGCAGACCGCAACGATGGGTCGAATGTTTCTAATGGAAACGATAATTCGGGTATAATTATTGCCAATCCCAAACGATTTCTCCCCTTCCC